ATTTCTGCAGATGATGGTAATGACAGTAGCACAGCAATGTGAACATACTTACAATGCTACAGAACTTTATACCTAAAAATGGTTAAAAGGTAAATTTTATGATATATGCATTTTACCATAATTAGAGGTTTTTTAAGTACAAAATGCCTTTCTGTAATTTCTACTATTTCCCCAAAAAAGGCAAAAATGATCACTGATGCTCAGGACAGTATATAAAACCATAAGCATGTCCAGTTCTAATTCTCAAATGCCCAGTCACTCTACCACAGCCACTGAACAAACAGCAGTATTGTAGTTTCCTCTTCATTTCCAAATACATCACTGGTTCTCCATCACTGGAGAAGGTAAAAAAAATTGTTGACAAGAAAAAAGAGGAGCTGGGCACCAATGGCTCACGCCTGTAATCCTAGCTACTCAGGAGGCAGGGATCAGGAGGATCATAGTGCGAAGCCAGCCCAGGGAAATAATTTGCGAGACCCAATCTTAAACCCAACACAAAAAAGAGCTGGTGGAGTGGCTCAAGGTATAGGCTCTGAGTTGAAGCCCCAGTACCACAAAAAAAAAAAGAAAGAAAGAAAGAAAGAAAGTTGCTGAAGAGGTACAAATGAAGTTCAAGTGGTATGAGGATCATCCAGTCTGTGCTCATCTGCAGGGCAAGATCCTCCAATGTTACCACCAGAACACCCACCAGACCCTTAACTGCTTTGCTCTGACCAGCCAGTACATGCTCTGTGTCAACCATGCCAAACAAAGCATGCTGGAGAAGGGAGGATAAAATCAACTTTCAGAACGAGCAAAACTCCCTCAATGTTAATTAGGAAAATGTTATTTTCCTAATAAGAAAATAACCCAATTAAAGAGAAGACCACTAAAGAGAAGCACCAGAAAATGAATTCAACAAAATCATATGTTTTGATCAGCAACAATTTGAAAAGCCAAGGCCTAGCTCAGGGATCAGTTGTTAAAGGATACTGTTGAGTAATAACATACCCAATTTATGATGAACAAAAAAGGAGTGCAGCCCTCTTCATTTTTTTGTACTTTCTATTCAGCTTCTACTGACCATAACATGTTTCTCCTTACACCAAATCCTACCACTGAGGGATCGCCTCTCTTACAAAGCCAGGAGGGGACAGGGAAGTCAAAACTAATTGGAGTAGTGAGAGAAGAGAGCAAGAAAACACAGAGCTGGGGCAACTGTGATGGGTAGAATTATCTAGGCTGTGGCTTGTTGGTGTTTTCCCTTCTTTGATTATATGAGAACTATTTCATTTTAACTTATGATGATCATGCAAGTAAAGACAAAAAGAAAAAAGAGGGAAAGGTAAGGCAAGGCTATCAAGAATGCTTCAGGAGGGCTGGTGGAATGAATCAAGTGGTAGGGTTGGGGTTTGAACTCAGGGCTCTGGGCTTGCAAAGCAAGTGCTCTACCACTTGAATCACACCTCTGGTCCATTTTGCTTTGGTTACTTTGGAGACGAGGTCTTGTGAACCAATTTTGTTAAGCTGGAATCGAACCTCGATCCTCCCAATTTCAGCCTCCCAAATAGCTAGGATTACAGGTGTGAGCCACTAGCACCCAGCTTCTCAATACCTCTTGAAATTATTTCTTCCTCTTTAATTACCCTTTCCTCAATATATTCCTTCAGTGCTTCCTCTAGGATCCCTTAAGTAGCTTCTGACTAACCTTGAGGACTCTAATCTCAGCCCACTTTGATCCATTCAAAACTGCTATAGGTATCTAATAAAACAAAAGTCTAATAGTGGGAATACAAGTATTTACTATGTTGACTTTTCTTTTTACTTTCCAAATAATTTTTGTTTTTTGGTGGGACTGAGGTTTGAACTCAGGGCCTCAAGGCTTTGGCCTTGCCAAGCAGGCACTCTATCACTTAAGCCACACTTCCAGAGTCCATTTTGCTTTGGTTATTTTGGAAATGTGGTTTCACAAACAATTTGCCCAGGATGGCCTCAAACCTTGATCCTCCCAATGTCAGCCTCCCAAGCAGCTAGGATTACAAGCATAAGTCACCAACTCCCAACTCAAAATAATTTTTAAAATTTCAACTTAAAAATGAAAGACATCCCCCACCATCAGTGGTACTTGTGTGGAGGAGAAAGCAATAGGAGAGAATAGTTACAAAGAAGCACAGGAAAAATTTTGAAGTTATGAATATGTTTGTTACTTTTAGGGTAGTAATGGTTTTTCAGGTATATACCTAAGTCAGAATTTATCAAATTATACAACTAAATAAGTACAATTCATTGTATGTCAGTTATACCTCAATTTAAAGGAAAAAAACCTAAGTTAAGAAAAAATACAATGAGGCCGGGCAGAATGGTTCATTCCTGTAATCCCAGCTACTTGGGAAGCAGAGATCAGAAGGATCTCAGTTCGAGGCCAACTCTGGCAAAAATGACTTTGTTGAGATGAGACCCTATCTCATCTCATGGCATGGTGGCATAAAGGCAGGAGGCATAGATAAGAGGATTCTCTGGTCTAAAGCTGGCCCCAGGCAAAAATAAAACACCCTATTTGAAAAATTACTAAAGCTAGGGAATGATTCAAGTGGTAGAATACCTGTCTAGCAAGCAAGAGGCAGAGTTCAAACCCCAATACCACAAAAAAAAGAAAAAAAAAATAGCAAGTGAATCAAAAGTCTTTAAAAATAAATCTACTGGTGCTTAAAATATTTCAAAGTCTCCCCTCTGCCTACAGGATGAACTTCAATCTCCTAACCATAATAACCAAGGCTTCACTGGCCATTTCTCCATGAGTGTACCTGAATTCAATTAAACAGATTTATTTACAGCTCCTTGATTGTCCAGTTTTATTAGAGTAAGCTAGTTCTTCTTCTCTATGTCCTTTCCTCATTCTCTACCTAATGTTCTTACTAAGTCTAAGCAGCTCTTCCCTTGTCGTCAAATGCCTCTCTACTCTGCTCCCACAGTACCTGGTACAGATTTCAAGTATAGGTTTCCAAGTATTGTATTAGTAATTTTCTATAGGATTTCTCTATTAGATCATAAACTTGAGAATAAGATTGTTTTTCATGCACAATACCTTGCATAGTTCCTACAATGTAGTAAACACTCAAAATAGCTGCTGAATTAAAAAGAAAGGAAGAAATCATTTAAACATAACTTTTATCACTTGATTCTTTGGTCAACCCTAACAATCTAACTGAACAAGAAGATCTGAGGCTTAGAGAAGTTAAATGACTTGCCCAAAGTCCCACCCATAGTAAGGAGTGGACCAACCTTTCAACCAAGACTTTTCAGACTCCTAGATAGGTGCACTTTACTGTACTTAAGAACTTCTCACAGTGTCTAGCCCAAATGCCTCTTCAGAGTAGGTGATCAAAATACCTTCTATTTTCACATTAACTGCCACTTTTGAACTAATCTTAAGGACATTTCCATTGCTTTATCACAATATAAGCTAAGAAGGCCTCAGGAAATCAGAGTATAAAGTGAAAGGGATTTTTCTTATCTAATCTTACATTGTATCATAAAAGATAAATAGAAAAGTATAGAAAAAAAGAGGGCAGATGGAGAAATGGTTTCTGTGGATGTTACCACCTAAGAAATGAACCTGCAACAATCCCCATGCTCAGGGACAAAAATATTTAAAGACAGGTAGAACAGCCACTAACTTCCAAGATAAATCAAAGGTGTTTACTTCAGTCTCTAGCCCAATAAATTTTTCATTCATTGTCTTCCCCAAATATCCATCTTAAAAATTAAATAATTTAAGGTTGGAGTTATTGCTCAATGGTAGAGCATTTGCCTACTGTGTGTGTTCCTGGGTTTGATCCCCAACACAGGAGACACACACACACACACACACACACACACCATTTAGACCATACTGGCTGGCATTTCACCAGCTGTCCTCAGATCTGAATCAATTTCTGCCTTGACATCAATACTTCACCAAGCAAATCTTCCCTAGGCTGTAGGAACTGTTCCTCAAATTATTTCCTGAGCAGCAACTGTGGGTTCTGCACTTTACTAGGCTGGGACAGACTACAAGAGGTAAAACTGCAGTCATAGTAAGTCATATATGAAAAAGATTTAAAATCATAAGTGTAAAATAACAACCAAAATATAACCAGAGACATGAACAGACAGGAAAAGACTGTCTGCTATGAAAAACCAGTGACCTTGACCTAATTTTTGAAAGAGTTGCTAAAATTATAAAATGTTCCATCTCTCCATGACTAAGAACTAAGTTCTGTAGTCTCCTTACCCTTTTTTCTACCATCACTTTATTTCTCCTTAATTAGTAGAGGTCAGAATATGCTAGAAAGGGTGAATCTCAAGAGTTTTTTAAGACCAAATCTCAGGAGGTACAATAGCTCCCCATATGGGTCTCGTGGTCTTTTTTTCACTCACTCATTCAACAAGTATTAACTTAACACCTAGAACGGGCCAAACACTGTGCTAGACAAGATGAAAACAAAAGGTATGGCCCTGGTTCTCATGAAACTTTCGATCTAATAATCTATAGTCACACTTAACTGGGCAGATAAGGACGGATTTACGGTCTCTAAAACAAACTCAGAAAACCTCAGAATCCAAAGGAACTTCGAAGAGATAAATGTCCCCATTTTTCATGAGGCCACTAGGGCCGGAAGTGACCCAAGGTCATACTGTGCATCATACAAACATGGACTAGAACCAGGGTCTCCAATCAGTGCCCCACGTGCTCCTCTCCCTGAGGGACGGGGTTAACAGAGAGTGATGGAGGAAAAGCAAACCCCCTCAAATAAAGGTCAGATGTCACTCCATTCTCGAGAGAGACGCTAAAGCCAGGGAGAAGCTAAGGATAAGGACAGGTGGGAAGCTGCCTCAGTTTCCCCGCGGAAAGGCAGCCTGAGGCCCAGCTACCTCACAGGCTCTCTTCTCGCACTTTCTTCCACTCCTCCCGCCCCGCCCTCTCCGATTCCAACCCCGAGACCCGGCATGCGACCACAGAAAATTATTCCTGCACTCACAAGGACTCGCATCAGCAACGCCATGTTCTTCAACAACCACTTCCGGGTGAAGGGTAGACTTCCGGAATCCCCGCGGCCACCTCTCTCTCTCTCTCTCTCTCTCTCTCTCTCTGTCTCTCTCCTTTTACAGAAGGGCGGTGAGCAACGGCGGCGCATGCGCATGGAGGCTGTGCGCACGCGCGCGCCTCCCCGGCCGCGCGCCTGACTGTGAAGCCCTGCGTGAGTTTCATCCCTGCCTCTGTTCGCTATGCTGCGCGTCACAGTGGCTCAAGCTCTCCTCGGACGCCGCCTTCTTGACCCCGGCCTCTGCTATACTTCTCCTTATACTCATCTGCCTCGCCTCACGTCTCAGTGGCCTCTTGCCAGAGCCACTCTTTTCCCGACTTCACCCCCAAAAGGAGTCCCCTTTTTCAATGTGGATTAAAAAAAACAAAAACAGGACCTTAGGGAATCCCAATATTTACAAAAAGAGACTGAGTAGGAGTCTAAGAATTAAGACAGCTTTGTGGCTAGTTAGTAGTTTAATAGGAGCTTCTTAATATTAATGGAAAGGCTTAGTAAAGATGAGAATACAGTAGAAAGAATCAAGAATATGAGGAGTTCCCATAAAGGAGAGGGAGAGAATGGCCTTAGCTAGAGAATTTCTCTTCCACTGTATCCCAAAAAAGCAGAAGAAAGAAGATGTGTATTTTGCAGGGTTGGACTGGGAGCGAAGAGCCAGGATGTTGAAGGATTTCCTTCCTTTCCATTTAGTAAATAAAGACCCATGGAGTGTTCACTGTGTACTAGACACAAGACATGTGAATACTGGCTTCATGGAGCTCATAGACTGGTGGGGAGGGAAGCACACAAAAGTCTGTTCAGCCAGTGAGGATAAAATAAAAACCCTAGGGCTAAAGATATGGCTCAAGTGGTGGATGCCTAATATGAGGCCCTAAGTTCAAACCCCGGTACCACCAAAAATGAAAAAGTGTTAAAAAGGAAATGATAAACAGTTAATTTACAGAATCACATAGAGAACTCTAGCTTCTGTGAACTCAGCTTTTTTTTAGATTCTACCTATGTAAGTGAGATCATGCAGTACTTGTCTTTCTGTGCCTGGCTTATTTCACTTAATGTCTTCCAGTTTCATCCATGTTTTCACAAGTAGCAGAATTTTCTTCTTTTTTCAGGTCCGTTGTGAATACAAACCACATTTTCTTTATCCATTCATCTATTGATGGACACTTAGATTGATTCTATATCTTGATGATTGTGGTTAATGCTGCAGTGAACATGGGAGTACAACTATCTCTTTGACATACTGATGTCATCTCCTGTAGATATATGGCCAGTAGTGGGATTGCTGGATCATAAAAGAGTTCTAGTTTTACTGTTTTCCATAATGCCTATATTTATAGTCCTACATTCCTACATATGTATATTCCTACATTCCTAATTTATAGTGTACAAGGGTTCCCTTTTTCCTACGTCCACATAAACACCTGTTTTAATAGCTATGCTAACGTGTGAAGTGATATCTCATTGGTGTATTTCATTTTATTTGGATTTTTGACAGTACTAGGATTTTAATTCAGGGCCTCAAACTTGCTAGGCAGATACTATACCACTTGAGCCATGTTCCTATCCTTTTTTTTTTTTTTTTTTTTTTTTAGTTATTTTTTTCAATAAAGTCTCACATTTTTAGCCAGAAGCTGGTGGCTCACGCCTGTAATCTTAGCTACTCAGGAGGCAGAGATCAGGAGAATTGCAGTTTGAAGCCAGCTGGGGCAAATAGTTCATGAGACCCTACCTCAAAAATATCTATCAAAAAAAGAGCTGGTGGAGTGTCTCAAGTGGTAGAGCTCCTGCCTAGCAGGCATGAGGCCATGAGTTTAAACCCCAGTACTACCAAAAAGAAAAAAAGGAATCTCTCATTTTTGCCCAGGGCCAGCCTCAGACCTCAGACACACACCACTGTACCTAGTTGTTGGTTGAGATTGGGTCTTGAAATCTTTTTGGCTGCTGGCCTTAAACCACAATCCTCCCAATTTCTGTCTCCCAAGTAACTGGGGTTACAAGTATGTACCACTACACCCAGCTCATTGTGGTTTTAATATGCATTTCCCTAATGATTAACCATATTTTTTTTCATATGCTTATTGGCCATTTCTGTATCTTCTCTGGAGAAATGTCTATTTTGATTATCCTTTCCCTATTTTCTAATCAAATCATTTATTTTCTTGCTGTTGAGCTCCTTATATATTTTGGATATTAACCCCTTATCAGATGTATGGTTTACAAATATTTTCTCCCATTCCGCCAATGAGCTCTTCATTCTATTGATTGTTTCCTTTGCTGTGCAGAAGCTTTTGAGTTTGACACAACCCCATTTGTCTATTTTTGCTTTTGTTGCCTATGCTTTTGGGATCATATCCAAAGCAATATAGCCCAGCCTAATGTCATGGAGCTTTCCCCCTACTTTTCCTTCTGTTTATTTCAAAGTTTCAGATATGATGTTTAGGTCTTTAATAAACATGGAGTTGAGTTTTGTATGAGATAAAGGTCTAATTTCATTCTTCTGCATGTGGATATCCATTTGTCCCAATACCATTTCTTGAAGAGACTGTCCTTTCCCCATTTTGTGTACTTGGCATCCTTGTCAAAAATCCATTGAGGGGAGACTAAGGATACAGTTCCTTCGTAGAGACTTGTCTAGCATGTGCAAGGTTTTGGGTTCAATCCTCAATTCCTCAAAAAAAAATCAAGCGTGTCATGGTAATGTATGCCTGTAGTCCAAGCTATTCTGGAGGCTGAGGTGAGAGGATCACTTGAGCCCATGAGTGACCAACCTGGGAAACCTAGCAAGACCTTATCTCAAAAAAATTGACTATTAAAAAAAGAAAGAAAAATTTGACTATAAATACATGGATTTATTTCTAGGCTCCCTACTCCACTCTCTCAATTGACCAATATGTCTGCACAAATATTTATTCTATCATGTTCTTCTATCCCTGTATCAGAGGGAAAGAAAACCCCAGGATAATAGTCCCAGGGCAGGAAAAAAAAATGGTATATTTCAAGAATCCAAAGAAGACCAGTGTGGTCCTCAAATTAGCCTTAATAATTTAAAAGAGATATGTTAAAAAGACAGAGGGTAAAGTATTCAAGGACTTCTAGATCGAGTCCAGATTTTATTATAGGTATAGTAGGAAGCCATCAAGTCCAGATTTTATTGTAGGTATAGTAGGAAGCCATCATAATACATTAAGCAGGGAGGGCTAGTTGATTCATGTTTAAGAAGTCCACTTTAGCTGGGCACTGGTGGCTCATACCTGTAATCCTAGCTTCTTAGGAGGCAGTCATCAGGAGGATCACAGTTTAAAGCCAGCCTGGGATAATAGTTCCTGAGAACCTATCTCAAAAAAAAAAAAATCCATCACAAAAAAGGACTGGTGAAGTAGCTCAAGGTGTGAGCCCTGAGTTCAAACCCCAGTACTCCCCCCCTTAAAAAAAAGTCAATTTTGACTGCTGTACATAAAATAGATAGAAAGGGTTTAATGTTAAAATGTAAGAACAATTAGTAGGGTCATGGTATATAAACGGTTTTGATTTTAGTGCATAAATTTGGTTTTGTTCTTAAACAATATATAAAGATGTCCCTCATGAATCTGCCATGTGAAGAATTTTCAGGCCTAAATGGAGATACTTCCTATATGCAATGAGGTAGCTCTCATGTATAGTATTTATATGTAGTGTTTCTACATACATATAAATTAAGACAAGTCCCATTATATGGTAAGACAAGGATAAAAGAAACATTTCAAGACACAAATATGACACAGAAATTATGTTGTATTAGTTTTTCATTGCTATAATGAAATAACCTGAGGAAGACCAACTTTGTGAAGAAAAGAGGTTTCCTTAGCTCACAGTTTTGGAGGCTTATTGACATAGCAGTGGCATTGACCCAATTCTAGTGAGTTCCTTCTTAGTTGCCTCATACCATGGTGTATAGCAAGGGCACAGGAGCATGTGTGGGTGCCAGCAATCATATTGCCAAAAGGAAGTTAGAGAGAGCCAGGTAAGGCCAGGCTCAGGTTTATAATAACCCTCTTGTGGTAAGGCAGTACCCTCATTTGACCTAAAGGACCTCTCACTAGACTCCCCACCTTAAAGATTCCAGATCATCTCCTGGTATTGCCGCCCTAGGGAACAAGCTTACAATGTGTGAACCTTTGGAAGATACCCGAACCATAGAATATGCAAATGAGTCCAAGGTAGCACAAGAGACATTGGAATGCAATGCTGAAGATCAGAGAAAATATTGATACACGATTTTCTTTCTGATGGCTTTCATTTTCTCTGTAAACTGACATGGGGTGGGGGGAGTTCTTCTACTCAGAGCAATGCATATGGTATGCAATTATAGTTTAATGGAGTGAAGAAAATTTTAAGAGAGAAAGAAAAAAGCCAGAAAAATGGAGAACCAAGTTAAAGTTGAACACTCTTTACTTTTTAATTAATTTATTTTAGAAGGTGCAGCTCACGTGGTAGAATGCCTGCTTTGCAAGCACAAAGTCCTGAGTTCAAACCCCAATTCCACCAAAAACAAAGCAAATTTTATGAATTTTAAATTAATAGGTGTTGTATGATTACATTTTCTTTTCTAAAATTAAAACATTACAGAAAATGCCAAAGTACATTTTACCACCACTTGGATCCCCAGCCTCTTCTACCCTCTCTAAAGTTGAATTTTCTCTCAGGTTGTTTTTTGTTTTGTTTTGTTTTTTTGTGGTACAGGAGCTTGAACTCAGGGACTACACCTTGAGCCACTCCATCAGCCCTTTTTTGTAAAGGGGGTTTTTCGAGATAGGAGCTTGCAAATATTTCCCCAGGCTGGCTTCGAACCCTGATCTCTGCCTCCTGAGTAGCTAGGATTACAAGACTGAGCCACCAGAGCCTGGTTTTCTCAGGTCTTTTTAAATGCATTCATATGTATATACATGTTTGTTCCTTAGAAGACATCAATTTGGTGGATGTGAAGTTTGTTTCCATCCCCAAGATCTTGCACATGCTAGACAAACACTATACACTGTGTTGCCCAGGCTG